CCATTTTGGGGCCGATTGGGTCCGGAATCGTATCGGACCTTTGCCTCGGTTTTCCGGGGTCCTGTGTTCAAATGCCCACCCGACTCCAATATCGCATCCAACTTGCTGATCCTTTGGCGAGCATAGACCCCGAGGCATTCCAACAGCTTCACAACTTGAACCGATTCCCGCCTGTCCGTCTGCGATGTGCTAAAAGCCGATCATTTCCCCATCAACTCGCGGCAAACACGGAATGGGCCCGAAACACCTATTGATTCGACCGTACAGTACGAACCAGCCCGTCTATCGCGTACTGCCGTCACTACATGGTACGCACTATCCCTACGCTAATTGTGGTGATTTTCTTCGTGGCAAAATAGCGGTGAAGCATTGAGAAAAGGCCCACTGTATGGTTTGGGGGGCGTGTCTCGTTTGACGGTGATACACTGTATACTCATTCGCTCGTGAACTACCGCTAGTCTATGCGCTTCCTAATGCTCTCCTAAGCCACTCCTAAGATCCCGACCGGCTCGGCTAAAGCTTGTGTGATCCCGGCGGTCCAGCCGCCCTGGATCTATGAACTACAGCACTCCGCGGTTCGGATGTCTCTGTGGCGGCCGCAGGACATACGAGTGGACCATGCCAGTTTTCCGCTCAGCACTCGGAACCTTCACGTCCGGTATCGGTAGTCCAGACGATGACGAGTCCGCACGGCTTAGCCGACAAAGTAGAGCCACTCAGTGCCGACATCCACTACGGCAAGGCTTTTTGGGCGCTGGTATTACTGTACACACTGGTCCCTGCACCGTACGTCGTGAGTCGTGCGTGCAGGCCATGGGGGTCATGGGTCTCCGCAGGCACACGACCATGAGTACAATCGTAGATTATCCGGGCGGGATCATTTCGTAGACTTCTGCATTGCCTGAAAAGGTGAATGGGACTAAAAATGTCAGATTCCGTTCGACGCCGGAAAATTCTTCGGGACCGCAAGTCGCGCGTGGTGGCGGATCAAGCAAGATCGTTCTCGACGCATCCGGTCGCGAGTCGCGACGCGCTCGAGTTGTTCTCTTGCACCGTCGTGTATGCGCCCAGATATGCGCCTGGCGTATTGTATGTAGCATCCTCGAGATGAAATACCTCACCAGCGCGACCCACGCCACCACGATTGTATTGAATGCTTAGGGATGCTTAGAAAACATAGGCTCGAGCGCATGCGAAAGCCCTTGATCGACCGCGCAGCTCGGAGGCCGGGACTCCGCAAAATGGTTTGCCCTATGTCGTTGACGCGAGTTCGCTGACCTTAGTGTGCTCTGGACCGATATCATACATAATGCTCGCGGTCGACGAGCGGACTTTTGTGCTGCTCGAATTTCCCTGTTCTTGACGCTACCTGCACCTCGTCCAGCGTGTCCCAGCTGTGGCTATGAGTGCAAACTCACCTGCGCTTCATCGCTCGCAGTCAGCGGCTCCCAGCATGTCGTCGACTGCTAATGAGCATCATTTCAACAAAGAGCTGGAGGACGAGATTCGGAGTGATGAGCAACGCATGGAGGTGCGTATTGGCCTGGCATAACATGGTAGCACTCATCTGACCTCGTCGCAGGACTACGGCGGTGATGATCCCGAAGAGCCTCCAGAAAAGACGCCTGTCAACTCGCCTGTCGTAAAGCCCGCGGGCCCGCCCATGCCGTGGATGAAGCCTCACGACCCAAACCGCGTCGAGTGGGACGGTCCGGATGATCCCGCAAATCCGCAGAACTGGGGCAAGCCGTACAGGTGGGCGATCACGCTCCTCTGCGGTCTGATGACGGTCAATGTGTACGTCTCGTGCCTATCGCTCATTTACTCCCCCACTGACTCGGTCGTAGCACGTTTGCCTCGTCTGCACCCGCTGAGTATACGCTTGAAATAGTGGAAGACTTAGGCGCTTCGACAGAACTTGGCTATCTCATCACATCGTACGTCTTGACACAACTATATGAACGCGCCCATCTAACACAGCACCTCAGTATCTTCTTGTGCGGCTACGTGGTTGGACCTATATTCTGGGGTCCCCTCAGCGAACTCCTTGGTCGGCGGCAAGTCTTCGTCTGGACGCTGTCGGTCTACACGCTCTTCCACATTGGTCAAGCTCTCGCTCAGAACATCGAAACCCTCATCATCACCCGCTTCTTCTGTGGTGTCTTCGCTTGTGCACCACTATCTAACGCTGGTGGTCTGATCGCCGACGTATGGGATCCCATCACTCGTGGTCTTGCCATGAGCTTGTTCTCGACGACTGTCTCGCTTGGCCCCGTCTTGGGCCCCATCATCGCAGGCTTCATGGTACAGGCACACGTATCGTGGCGCTGGATATTCTGGGTCATGATGATGTTCGCCGGAACCTGCACAGTGCTCACCATCATATTCTTGCCGGAAACCTACGCGCCCGTATTGCACAAGTGGAAGGCTCAGCGTCTGCGTAAGGAAGACTCGGAAAAGAACAAGGATCTCTATGCCGAGAGTGAGCGCGGAGATTGGAGTGCAAAGGGCCTTTTCGACCGCACGATCAAGCGTCCCTTCGTCATGTTGCTCGTGGAGCCTATCCTTCTCCTCATCACGCTGTACATGTCAATCGTCTACGGAGTTCTCTACGCACGTAAGTCCACTCTCTTAGCACGGCTGTATGCTGTGTACTCACTGCATTTGATAGTGTTTGAGGCACTGCCGATCATCTACATGGAAACCCGTGGCCTTACCGTCTCTCAAGGTGGCCTTACATTCATTGCTGTCGGTATCGGTACGACCATCGGCGCGATGCTCAACATTTACCTGTCGCGCATGTATCCGCGTCTTATGAGGGAGTCTCGCGGTTTCCCACTCGCCGAGTACCGGTTGTACAGCGCTATGGTGGGAGCTCCGGCATTCGCTATCGGGGCGTTCTGGCTCGCGTGGAGTGGTCACTACGCGAGCGTCCCGTGGTATGTACCCGCGCTCAGTACCATCTTTATCGGTATGAGCTTCAGCATGATCTTCATTTCTTTCCTGGTGAGTTGTCACAACTGCCTCGTCATTCGGTGACTGACTTTGCTCGCAGAGCTATGTCGTCGACACCTACTTGATGTACGCAGCATCCGCATTGTCTGCCAACACGATCATTCGTTCCGCGGTTGCTGCTGGCTTCCCGTTATTCACGGTCCAGATGATCCACGGTATGGGTATCAATTGGGCGCTTTCGCTTGTCGCGTTCATTGCGCTTGCATGCACGCCTATGCCCTTCCTGTTCTTCAAGTATGGTCCACGTATCCGCCAAGGCTCCAAGTTCGCGCCGTGCATTGATCTGAAGATCAAGGCGGCTATTGAGGCAGAGAAGGCCGCAGAGAAGGCCACTGGTGCCGAGAAGGTTTGAGAAGGCATCTCGCGTTCGTTGAGTCTTGTCGCAGATGGACAATCATACATAGACATCCTTTCCGTTCATTCACATCTCTATAATTCTCGGTATGCTCAGACTACACCCACATTTGTCTTCCTTGCTCTTTTACAACGCTATCTATTCCCTTACGACCCCACTCATGCCATTTCCCTCATCCACATCGTTACATCCCTACTTTGACTATCGCACACCATGATTCGGCTTGCATGTCAGTTTTACTACCCCTCTGTAGCATACCTTAATCGACGAGTGCATCGCGTTGCACATTAAAACCATACTCCCTTGTGCCGGCCTGCTGGCCGTGGATATCAGTCCGCTGGATGCGATACGAGTTCGACGCACACTTTTTATGAATGGTATGGTATTCCATTTTTTGTAGCAGCCGTGTATCTCATGCACCTATACACTCAATCCCGAAGTTCGGCGTTACACTACGGGCATCGGTCGCTTTTCGGGCTCAGAACATGGTGAAATCATGGGAGAAAGCATGTACCCCTCTTGATGCCAGACATGCTTTTCCCATGCTTTTTACCATGTTCTGAGTCGAAACATGGACCAATGTCTCTAGTGTTAACGACAGGATAGAGTTCAAGACCCCGAGAACCCAAGCCTGAGCTGCATCTCTTGCGCACAACGCCGTGATATGACATTTCCTCGCTCTCTACATACTTGGAGGAAGAAGAACCGAGGACGGGTTCCGAAGGCGATGGAATGCGATCAGCAAGGTCCCGAGCGCGTGAGCTTCCAGAGGTTCTTCCCGTCGAATGCAAGGTCTGGGCTCGCACAGTAGCCTCCACGTCCCGATACATTCAGTCCATGGGAGACAATGAAGCGCATGTATTCTGAAGAGTAGCTCCACCCCAAAGACAAGCAGGTTGAGGACAAGGTGGACGAGGATCCGAGCGTGACCGTGTAGAGGATGACGCGCGTGACATCCGGACCTTCGGCGATACCGCCCTGTGCCCAAGCGCGAACGTCGGCTTGCTCTCTTCCTCCATCGCACAAAGAGAGGTCATCCTATCGGACCCACGCACGCCTATTCCGTGTTTCTGAATAGACTGCTGTCCAGCTATGGAGGTACGCGTATCTTAAGTCCGAGATAAGCCCCTCGTTTACACGTCCAAACCGCAGGCTCTTCTCGACTTCACGAGGGAGTTCGATCCCCAGCTCCTTGACCAAGTCGTCCAGGCACTCTATACTGGCGCTGGAGGGAAAGATGTACGCGCTCAATTATTTGTCGAGCTCATATGTTGATTTTGACTAACATACGTGCGCCACCAGCAACAACTCGCACAACAAGTGCTCACGCAGTTCCAAGACAGCCCGGATGCATGGACGCGCGTTCCGGACATCATGGAGCGGTGCACATTCCCGCAAACGAAGGTATATTGTATTTGACGCGTCTGTTGGCTAGCCTGGCGCTAATGCTTGACTCGCAGTTCATCGGATTGGCGATCCTCGAGAAACTCATCAACACGCGGTGGAAAACGTTGCCGGAAGCTCAGCGCCAAGGTGCGCCGCAAGTTTAATGGTTCTTCATCCCGCTGAACCCGTTCTAGGCGTCCGGAATTTTGTCGTCGGGCTCACTGTGAAGGTCGCGTCCGATGAGGCTACTCTTCGCAAAGAGAAGACCTACGTCGGCAAACTCAACTTGGCGCTGGTGCAGGTCAGTTCATGTCCTTTAGTCTCCTATCGGTGATTCGCGTGTTCACAATCACTCATCACCGTCCCCCACAGATTCTCAAGCAGGAGTGGCCACATAACTGGCCGACATTCATCCCCGAACTCGTGGAGTCCTGCAAGACGAACCTATCTCTCTGCGAGAACAACATGGTCATTCTCCGTCTGCTCTCCGAAGAAGTCTTTGACTACTCTGCCGAGCAAATGACGCAGTCAAAGATCAAGAACCTCAAGAACCAAATCAGCGGCGAGTTCTCCGAGATCTTCAAGCTCTGCACGGAGATTCTGGAGGAGGCGTCGAAGACATCGCTCGTTAAGGCGACTTTGGAGACTCTGCTGCGCTTCTTGAACTGGATCCCGCTAGGGTACATCTTCGAGACCACCGTGGTCGACATTCTTATCACGCGGGTGAGTCCTGGGAGCCGACTGGTGATTCATTGTATCTGACGCTGCGCACAGTTCCTTGAAGTACCAGACTTCCGAAACGTGACGCTCAAGTGCCTTGCGGAGGTAGCCGCGCTCAACGTT